TTGTTCACCTTTTATTAACGCAATGAGCGTCCGTCAAAGTTGACAGCACGCGCGGATTTGCGTTATCTTTATCCACAATACATGAGCAAAAACATGCCTATATAAAATTCATTGTAACTCTTGAGAATAGATCGAAACTCCTAATATTTGGATAGATTGTGAAATGGAGATATGATTTCATGTCTCATTTGACCCTCAATTAAGTCATAATGTCATCATAATGGCCTCCAAACTCAAAATTTAAATTTGCATATTATGACGCATGCATATTTTTGGAAAATTGATTGTATCTCTGTAGATATTGATCATTTTTCTTCTCAATTTTGATATGTTGTAGCTGAGATAATTTTCTACAAATGCAGTTATCACAATTTTTCATTTTGACAAAGACATTATGGCGTATTTTTGCGAATAAAGGAGGCATGTCAATTTTTAACATTTTGCGTGTATTGTCTAAGGGACATGACTATTTCTCAAAACTGCATTCTACATTTCCGTCTTTCGCGAGCAACATCTCCGTTGTTTTAACTTTGTTTTCGGTGAGCTTCGGGTATGTTGTAGCTGAGACAATGAGCTACCTCCAATGTGCACTTCATTTTTCGATCTTATGCCGGGATCATGCTCATATTTTACTTGCAAAGTGGGATTTTAGAATTCCATTTTCGTTTACGTGTAATCGCTATGGGAAATGTTTTGGTATCTCGGTAACGCACTTGACTTCCGACCTTGAGTTCCCGGGTTCGAGTCCGGGTGTCTCCAAAAAAAAATTCTTAACTTTATTTTCTTGTTGACCTTTCACTGTACCATCTCCTTTTGTTATTCGAACACGTAGAATAGCAAATAATGTAATAAACAACCCTATTTACTTTATTGTTACCCTATTTTCACTTAATCCATTACTTTTTGCGTGTAATCCCTATGGGAGATGACTTTTTCTCAAATCTGGATTCTACATTCCTGTCTTTTGCGAGCAATATCGCCGTTATTTCTGATTGGATTAAGTTGATTTTTGAGTATGTTGTAGCTGAGACTATATGCTATTTAAATCATCCCTCATTTTTCAATAAGATATCAGGATCACGCTCATGATCATGATCATCATTATCATAATGAAGATTATCATTTATGAATTACATTTTCATTTCTTTGAATAAGATAAAATCGTCAAAATGCGTTTTTCATGATGTAAATTAGTGTCAAAGGTGTAGCTGGTTACTGCACAGAGTCAATGGTCATATATTGTTTCAATCCTTCTTCCCAAGATCCATAATGATCAAGGGGACACAATTTAAACTCGACATATGGATGGATCATAATGGGAGAAGCATTTTATAAAATAATATGATATAGTGTAATGCATTCTTCGTTATGTAAACCAATATCATACGTATCACCTAATTCGTCTAAGTGACGAATTAAAGTCTAGTTTATTTTTATTATTCTTCCTCGAATTTGTTCGCAGGATATCTCAAGACTGAATAAAGCCATTATCATGAAACTTTCAATGATGATAGATCTTAGTCTAACTTAGAACTGTGTGACTTTTCAGACAGTCAAGGTCATCGTGACGTCATCCAGGCGCCATTTTGTGAAAATCAACTTATGATCATATCTTCATAAAGGAAAGCCATTTTTCATTCATATTTATCATGATTAAACTCAATATCCGTCCGGTCAATTTCAAGTCAATAAATGCGCGCAAAAATGCGCGTACGTTTATGTCCGCGCGTTTACGCGCGCGAAAAAAATTAAAATGCTCCAAATCATCCCAAATTTGTTTTGCATACGTTTCAGGCCATATGGAGCATTTGATAAAAAAATTACGCGCACGCGCATGCGCGCGCGTTTTCGCGCGTACTGGCATTTTGCAACATAGAATCGCCGATTTTTTTCTGTCATCATATTCGGTACATTTTTCCAAGCATTTTGATAATTTGTTCACCTTTTAATAACGCAATGAGCGTCCGTCAAAGTTGACAGCACGCGCGGATTTGCGTTATCTTTATCCACAATACATGGGCAAAAACATGCCTATATAAAATTCATTGTAACTCTTTAGAATAGATAGAAACTCCTAATATTCTTTCATATTTGGATAGATTATGAGTCGGAGATATGATTTCATGTCTCATTTTATCCTCAATTAACTCATGACGTCATCATAATGGCCTCCAAACTCAAAATTTCAATTTGCATATTATGACGTCAGCATATTTTTGGGAAATTGATTGTATCTCTGTAAATATAGATCAATTTTCTTTTTAATTTTGATATGTTCTAGCTGAGACAATTTTCTACAAATGTAGTATTCACAATTTTTATTTTTGACACAAGTATCAAGGTGTATTTTTGCGATTAAAGGAGGCATGTCAATTTTTCACATTTTGCGTGTATTCTCTATGGGACATGACTTTTTCTCAAAACTGGATTCTACACTCCTGTCTTTCGCGAGCAAAATCTTCGTTGTTTTAGCTTTGTTTTCGCTGAGCTTTGGATATGTTGTAGCTGAGACAATGAGCTATCAAAAGTGTGCCTTTTATTTTTCGATTAGATGCCAGGATCAAGCTCATATTTCACTTGCAAAGTAGGATTTCTGAATTCCATTTCCCGTTTACGTGTAATCGCTATGGGAGATGTTTTGGTATATCGGTAACGCACTTGACTTCCAACCTCGAGATCCCTGGTTCGAGTCCGGGTGTCTCCAACACTTTTTTTTTCTCACTTTTTTTTCCTTTTGACCTTCACTGTACCATCTCCTTTGATTATTTAAACACGTAGATTCGCAAATAATGTCATAAATAACCCTTTTTACTTTATTATTACCCTATTTTCACTTAATCCATTACTTTTTGCGTGTAATCCCTATGGGAGATGACTTTTTCTAAAATCTGGAGTCTACATTCCTGTCTTTTGCGAGCAATATCGCCGTTATTTCGGCTTGGATTTTGTTGATTTGTGAGTATGTTGTAGCTGAGACTATATGCTATCTAAATCAACCCTCATTTTTTCAATAAGATGTCATGATCGCGCTCATGATCATGATCATGATCATCATGATCATCATTATCATAATGATGATAATCATTTATCAATTACATTTTCATTTCTTTGAATAAGATAAAAATCGTCAAAAGGTGTTCTTCATGATGTAAATTAGAGTCAAATGTGTAACTGGTTACTGCACAGGGTCGAAGGTCATATATTGTTTCAATCTATCTTCCCTAGATCCATGATGATCAAGGAGACACAATTTAATCTTGACATATGAATAGATCATAATGGGAGAAGCATATGAATGGGAGAAGCAGTTTACAAAATAATATATCGTGTAATGCATTATTCGTTATGTAGACCATTATCATACGTATCACCTAATTCGTCTAAGTGACGAATTAAAGTCTAGTTGAAATTATTTTAGTTCATAGTTAATGTTTCCCTTATTCATGTTTAATTAAATGGAATTCATACGAGGTAGCGAAATGTCCTAATAACTTGTAATTTATATTTGTAGTATTTTCGAAATGAATTGCATATACCTAAATCATCAGTAATTAAGAAATATGCTGTAAATTCAGAAAAATTGTTAAAAAAACATAGATCTGCACGCACCCCATATTCAATATGCAAATTAATTGGTGTCAGCTGGTTCAACTGGAAATATGCCAACAGTCAGTCATCAACAGGTGCAACTGGAAATATGCACATCTGATTGGCGAGAAGTTTAAGTCTTTCCAAGATTTATATCTAGAAGCTGGTTTCGATAAAACTTTTAGTCGAATTCCCAATTTATTAAGTCTTAAAGACTTGAAATATTTTAAGTCTCAAAATGGATTTAAAATTTAAGTCCTAGAAATTAAGAGAGTACATTGGAAATACAGACGTACCAGTATTGAAGTATTGTTGCTGTTCAACTGGTTGGAAGTTTTACCAAATGGTTCTAATGGCTCAGCTAGAACAGTTGAATTATAGCTGGCCTGGATCAACTGGATCACTTAGCCCATTTCAATTTCCAGGGTTACCAGTTGGAATTAAATGGTACATGGACCAGTAGCAACTAGCTTTCTCTTCTGGGATGTTTGCACCCCCCCCCCCCCCCCCCACACACACACACAACCCCCTCTAATCCCAAACTCTTCCGGCGCGCCTGGACGTAATTATGGAAGATCCAAGACACGATGTTCAGAAACGGGATGAGAACGTCATTATTTTGGTTCATTTATTGTGTAACATTTGCGTAATTATTGGGTTGAACGCGGGTTACAGTAACTTCCCTTTCGACGTAAATTTCACGTGAATGAAGAACATGATTCATCTCAAGTCAGCCTCGTAATATTCACGTGAATGTCACGCAGATATTTTGACTAAAACTATCACTAACGTACGCTTCACGTGTTTCTGTGAAGCGATAATTTCGTGTATGAAGATGTAATTTCATAACCAAACAAACACGGGAGTATTAGGTTTACAAACCATGGTCTCCAAGGTAGGGATAATCACGTTATTATAATGGTGATATTGCAGTGACAATTGCGTGATTTAGTATACGTGTGTTTTAAGTTACCTAATGCAATAAACGTATTAACACATTTACGTAAATGTCCGGTGTTTGAAGAACGTAACTCTCCTCAAGTCGATACCTTGATATTAACGTGATTTTCACGTTATTTTGTTTATTGGGATTAACCGGTATTGGCATTTTTCGATTTTGTACGGGAATGGCTAAAATCACGACTCCAATTTCGACCAATCAGATGGATGGATTTCTTAAGTGAGGTATAAAAACACCTTTTTAATCATGATTGTTGGAAGAATAAATGATTAAATTAATAATGATAATAAAAATAACAATGATAATGATAACTATATTACAAATAATAATAATAAATTAATTTATATTGTGCCTTTCCCAGAGGATACAATAATTAGATGTTCTTTCATCAAAGGACATATTAAGAATTGTAGAGGTACGAACAACTGTCCCATGGTATCCAGAGAGTTATTCAAACAGAGAAATTCGTACCTGTCAGGGCAACCCTCTTCTCCATACTGAGGTTGCCTTGCATCAATTGGTGGTTTCTCTTCTTAAGTTTTCTCTTCCGCCGAGTCATCTCGTCTTCATGATCCTTTTGGTCCTGTATCTTGAGCGCGAGGCAGTTGGAAGGTTCCTCCACGTCTGCATCAACAGATGGAAAAAAGTCCTCGGTCAGGCAGTCCTCTGAAGACTTAGTCACCTCATCTGTTGAGGATGCCGTCTTGATGTTCCGGTAGCTGGTGACGTCAGTTGAGATTAGAATCTTTCCACTGGGTTCAGGAGTCACAACTCGAGGAGGAGCTGTCCGGTTGTCCTTGGAGAAAGACCGAAGCTGCAGTTCCTGTCGCCTCAAGGTCAAGACAACGCCGGTGTAGCAGAAGACCATGATGAGTACGGTGATACAGAAGATAATGGTGAAGCAGATGATGTAGTAGAGACAGGACTCCCAGGCGGGTGAACAGTGGTGGGTGTCTGGGTGATACTTGAAGTCGGAGAGGAACTTGAAGATAGGTGGTAAGACGTTAATTAACGGAACCACATAACAGAGGACGATAAAGACGATGGTCCTAGACTTGGTGGGAGGAAAGCGGGTGGACCAGACAACAGTCAGATAGCGGTCTACAGAGATGGCCAGGATCGTAGCGAAGTTACCGAAAAAGAAGCCTACAGCCCCCGTTCCATTTATCTGGCAATACAGGGATAGAATGAATACGCATATGAGGTATAAAGTATAATTATATGGAAACGTTGTATCATTCGCTCAATCTGACTTGCGTGCATAGACCAATAAGCATTTTTGCATGAAAAAGTGAAATTTTCACAAATGTGCATTTCTTTCTGGGAGTCACGTGGGTAACCTTTCAAAAAGTATAATATAAAAAAAATGATATGCACTTTCTCTGTACTTTTGTCGGAAAAAATCATTGTAATCCAGTACAATGTCGTCTCTTTTTGCGTAGGAGAAGAGCAACATAGCGAGTTTCATTTGTACTTTGGCCGCTCTCGCAAGCCCTTACTTGTTTCATTGTTGACAGGTGGCCTTGGGGTGAGCGGCTAATGAATATACTAATCGTTAGCTTTCTTCTGATATTAAACTTGTTTTGATTGTTTGTATATTTTCGACCTAGCAAAGGCCTTCGATACCGTCCAACACAAGAGACTAGTAAAAAAAGATCAAGGTCCATGGAATAGATGGTAACATATTGCAGTGGATAAAAGCCTGGCTCAACTGTCGCAAGCAGAAAGCTGTTATACCCAGGGAGCCAAATATAGCTTGAGACCTGTTACCAGGTCTGTAGTACAGGGATCCGTCATGGGACCGCTGTGCTTCCTGGTATACATGGATGACCTCGAAATTGGGCTAACCGATAAAATAATCACAGTTAGAAAATTTGCTGATGACACCAAGCTAATCCATCCAGTGCAAATAGACAATGTTAGAAACAGACATGCAAATTTCCTTCACAGATGGGCAAATACATAGCAGATGAGATACAATGCAGACAAATGTGGAGTTACGCATTTTGGAACCCACACTACACATACACGATGGGCAAATCCCAGCTGAAAGAAAGTACAGAAGAAAAGGATTTAGGGGTTATAGTACACAAGTCCCTGAAAGTTGCCTCCCACTGTGCTGCAGCAGCAGATAAAGGAAACAGGACACTAGGATAATGATCAAACGCAACTTTACATTCAGGAGTAAGGAAGTGATCTTAAAACTGTACAAATCACCCGTCATACCCCACTTAGATTACGCCATTCAGGCCTGGTGTCCCTACCTGGAAAGAGACCAACAACAGTTGGAAAAAGTTCAAGCAAGAGCCACAAAACTCATTCCAAGTATTCAACATCTACCATATGAAGAGAGATTAGCAAAACTGAAACTAACTACTTTGGAGAAAAGAAGAGAGGAGACATACTGCAAACCTACAGGATAATAAAAGAAAATCGACAATTCCAAACCCGAGAATTATTTTCAGTTTGCTAACTATGATAGAACAAGAGGCCATTCCATGAAGCTAGCCAAAGCAAGAAGCCGCCTTGACATCAGGACAAATTTCTATAGCCAGAGAATTGTAACCAAATGGAACAAGCTGCCACAAACTGCCATTGATGCTCCCACACTTCTCAGCTTCGAACGACACATCTCTTTCCAACCTGGTTTTTTTAATGGGTCCCATGGTACCCCTTAACCTTGCCACATCACACTATGTACTGGATCTTCATCACCACGATGGCGAGGTGTGGCCTTCAAGGTATATTCAAGGTATATTGCAGGTAAAATCTTAAGATAAAAATATAATAAATCTCAAAATGCTCTTACTGTTGATAGAGTTTTAATAATAAACTCTGTCATCTTCCCCTCCAAAAAAAAAAGTACATTCTTACCAAGCAGATGACATCGTTGTTGACCAGAAACTGACCGTGGTCGAAGACGGATACGATAGAGAAAGACATACTTGTAATCGTTATACCGAGGTCGTTTACGAAAAGGTTGAGGATTAGCCAGTTATGGAGGTTCTTCCGCAGCAACTTGTCTCGAAGGATCGCCGTCATCGCGATCACATTGGCGACCAACGCTCCGAGGAAGATGACGATCAGGGTGACGCCCTCGACAACGACCACGACCGATGTCGGATCATGGTTGATCACGAGATCACGATGACGATCATACGACGTCGGTGAGGGTAATGCGGTTGTTTCATGATGGTCATTTGAAAGATTAGCAACCATTGTGATGTCAAAAAGTAGTTCGGTCGTACGATGCACGCAAAAGAAGAAAAGGTACAGCGCCTTGTTCCATCTAAAACGCCCAAAATGAATTGCTAGCCTGACACAACTGACTATATGAGATATATTTTACATTTAATATGACTTTGCACTTTTGAATATTTATTAAACAATTATTACGTACTAAAAAAAAACTTCTTTGTTTCGCTCCCGTCCAGGAAATGATTCACGATATATATGGGTTGTTTGTTATAAACAAATAAGAGATGATGCAGAAAAATGGGGTGGAGGAGTTAAACAGAGACATAAAGTCGTAAAAAAATGGGGAACAAACTTAGAGATTTAAAGAATACAATAAGTCACAATGATAGAGACGAAACTGAAATGCGAGATACACAATGATAGTGAGAGGGGAAGAAAGATAGAACGAAATGTGGGCGTGTGGGTGTGTGTGCGTATGTGTGTGTGTTAGAGAGAAAGAGAGCTATAGAAAGAGAGAGAGATGATCACCATGAGATTATTGGAGGAAGGGGTAAGAGAGAAACCTCATTGATGGGTAAAGATAAATAAGGAGAGAGCAGAAAGTGGAAAAATTATAGTTGAAAAATGTTATTAATATATAGAAGGAGGATGCTGCAGGGGTGGCTGAATAAGATCATTCTAATAAATCTCTAATGTCCAGTGCCTGAAAGTATATTTATTAATGACACTAAATTGAAATTAAACCACAATGATGACAAAGATGGAAACTGAAAAGCGAATGTACATTCAAGCGGGTCTTTCTTACTTTCGTTTTTTCCAAGACGGGACATCCTAGTAGACCGACATCCCCATGAGACCGACGTTGGTCTCGTGAACTCTCAGGACACCAATGAGACCGATATGTTTTGTGGGCCGGGGCGTTTTCCGGACATTTCTTTAATGTTTGTAAACACCATTTGAATGGAAACTTCTTTTGTTTAACGTATTTGTTTGTACGGGATACTTGGACAACTACCTCCTGACAGCTATTTCTGGCATGGGCAGTTTTACAGAAGACTTGATTTTCTGGTGGAAAGTAAACCCGATGTTTAGCTTTTTTAAACGAAAAGTAGTCCTAACCGTACAGGCAACCGACAACAAAATTGCAACCATACCTATAAATCAAGTGCATGTTCTGTTGTATTGCCTCCTGGAACAAATGTCAGGGCATCCATCAACCTTCTGAACACGATAGAGCCATATAAGTATTTTTGTTCAAGTAAATATTCACAAGCAGTCCAAACATAATTAAAGAGTATATCAATAAAATCGAATCCGATACAGGCCGTCACAAGTAGAATTGATTTCCATCTTCACATATTCCTTCTTTCTCAATTTAAAATGTATTTAATGTAAAAAGCACAATTTACAAAAACCCTACCAGTATGTCTTCACATTTTTATTTAAACAAACTCAAAATGATTAATAATGCACACATCGATTGGACACCATATCTGAAAATTTGCTTATGTATATTTTCTGTAATAATAGATTGTTTTGTGTCACGTTATTGAACGCAGAAATAAAATGCCATCGAACAAAACAAACATATGAGACTAATGTAATAACTTATAAAATGTTATATCATCAGTCATAATGATGGTCAATGCTTTAATTTGATTACTAAATATACTTGTGTGAAGATACATAATTGTGTAAAAATATTTTTTACATGTACTCCTTAATTTAAGAATAGACAATATATGCATACCAATATGAAAATATATCTCATTGACATATTTTTTATCAGAATTACTGCACTAAGTGCTATAAGTTCATTTATAATCATTTAAATTTTGTCCTGAAGAATACATGTCAAATGAAATCTAAGAAGACATTTCCAAGGTTCGTTATCAGCTAGACAATAGGGACTTTTAGGACGTCACACGTAGCAGTCCACTATGCCGACGTGCAAATCTAAAAGTCCCTATTACTTTATGAAGAACCACAGTCGAAACCGCAAAATAGTGCATTCTCATTATTCATTTCTATTTTCAAGGAAGTGAGAGAGAATTAGAGAAACTTGTGAAAGTATGCTATCGAAACAAAACTTTTCAAATTTGTTTGAATAGGCAATTAAGTCAATATGTTAAATCGATTCAATATACATTTATTTCCTTCCAAAAATAAAAATGAACATATGATGAAATGTATATTTACAATGTAGGAAGGAGGCGAAGTTCCCCCAAAGCAGAGGGTTTGTGGTGGGGTCGCCATAACAAGCATACATAATACACATGTAACACATATAAATTGAATTTAATATCAAACAACAGCAAGAGAGTCAAGTCAAATAAGATAAATATCACATACAAAGTCCTATAGAAGCGTGTATAATGAAAATCGTGATGAACATTCGCTCTAGATTGGAAAGTGACGATAGTCAGGCTTACTGTATTGGTGTTGTCTAACTTGACTACCTCACCAAGGAAACAGTAGGTCTGTTTTCATCAGCTCGAGATTGCCAAATAGCCCGCTATTTCTGATTTGGGAAATAATCCCGAAGTTACAAATCGCCTCTTCATCAGCTCGAGACTTGACTTCGAAACTTGAAACTCGAGCTTGAGATATTAGCTCGCGATATTTTGCTCAGCTAAAGCGCATAGTGCGAGTCTTCGGGCTGGTGAATTTAAGACGCACCGGACGAATAGCGTGATATTTTGCAAACTAGCCCAAGATAAATTATCTTGAAATGATTATCTTGACCAAATATCCCGCTAATTGCAACTTTGGGCTGATGAAGACGCAAATTGACTGGATAATTTGCGATCGGGATAGTTAAAATATAGCGGGATATTTGGCAATCTCGAGCTGATGAGGACAGGCCTAGTATCACGATGAACAGAATTATCTTTTTAAGAGAGATTTAAGGATATCCTGCCTGGAGAGGAGCCAGGCCGAATAACTTTATGACCATATTGCGTTCGCACCGTATCCGGACACCTACCCCCTGGACATCCACCCCCGGATAACCACCCCCAGTCAACTACCCCTTTAGACAACTACCTCTTAGGGCAATCATCCTCTAGGACGACTACCCCCAGGACAACTACCCCCCCCCCCGGACGAATACCCCCTAGGACAACTACCCCCAGGACAACTACCCCCGGACAACTACCCCCAGACAACTACCCCCTGGGATAGTTGTCCAGGGGTAGTTGTCATAGAGGATGGTATTCGTAGGGGGTAGTTGTCTGAGGGGTAGTTGTCCGGGTGTAGTTGTCCGGGGGTAGTTGTCCTAGGGGTAGTTGTCCTAGGGGGTAGTTGTCTGGGGGTAGTTGTCCGGGGAGTAGTTGTCCTGGGGGGGGGTATTCGTCCTAGAGTGTAGTTGTCCTTGGGGATGGTTGACTGGGGGTGGTAATCCGTAGGGTAGATGTCCAGGGGGTAGGTGTCTTAGAACCAGTTCGCACAGATCTGCAACTGATTCCTGGACACCAGCTAAACAGGGCCCTGTATCTGGCCCGGACTTGTCTGTTCATGCACGTGTAGATGAGAGGGTCGAACATGGAGTTGGCATAGCTCAGCCACATCGTCGCCACGCCCATCCAATGGTCGGAGTCGATGGGTATGAAGCAGGAGTGGACGATAAAGTATGGCGCCCAGCATACCACTATAGTCATCACCAGTAATATTCCTGAGAAAAAAAGCACGGAGGAGACGGTTCACATAAATTACGGTTTGCAAATGAAATGAAAAAACTTCAACACCGAAAAACAAACACCAAAATACTTGGTAAAAGAATTATCGTACCCGAAGGTGATCATGCATCTTACCAGCTTTAACTCTCATCATGCCATAGGGCTAATCCCCATTGTGCCAAGCCCCAATACCTCCCTTGCCAAGTTTATTTTGAGAAAATCTGATGGTTCTATGAATAGCGCGTGCGAAACACACAGCACAGTCTAATGATCATGAACAATAACTGCTTTTACGAATGCGTGCAAACATGCACAAGGCAGCGAAGCAATGGCTCGCTCGCATGTACAACGCACTACAACGATAGCGTGCATGCAGCCTTATGGCAGGCTCTATGAGTTAAATCAGAATACATGGTAAGTTCTGCGAAATGGGTCAAATATATTCAGAATGGAGGTTGAAATGCATGGAAGCATGATCACAAAACCTTTCGAGAAAGCAAGTGAAGGACAAATGTATATACCCTATTTTACATCCCGCCGAAATCATTTTCGGATTACGTAATATACATCATTGTGGTAATGTTTACACATGTCAAGAGGTACATAGACTATAGAGGCTATACTGATATTGCTCTAGGTTGAGTTTTCGAATGTCTTTGTGATCGTGTTTGGGTACACATTTTCCCGCAGTTTGGCGGACACGTAATATCACTATAAACATGACTGACAAAGAAAGAGGACAAAATATACAGTTCCTCATGCTACCCTCAACAATTGCTGTGGTAGACAAAGGAACATCCCTTCGCTGCTATTATGTAAAAATGTGTAGAACATGTAAATATGCATGTGACACCTGTTCTACACATTTTTACATAATAGCAGTGAAGGGATAATCCTTTGTCTATCACAGCAATTGTTGAGGGTAGAATGAGGAACTGTATATTTTGTCCTCTTTCTTTGTCCGTCATATTCATAGTGAATGACCCTCAGGTTTATAAGGTAGCTTACGAATGTGCATGTATATATTTTAAATGCCCTTTAAAGAAAGATTTCTTGACCAAGAATCAAAAGTGTTTTTTTTTTTTTTTTTTAAAGAGACAGTTTTACCTGTAAGGGCAACCCTCTTGTTGGCACGGACATTGTTCTGCGTCATTCGAGGATTTTCCCTCTTCCTCTTCTTCTCATTCCTGGTGGACTTCCTCACTTTCTCCCTCTCCTTTTCACCATCTTCATTCTCCTGCATCTTGAGTGTCCCACTGTTAGAGGTCTTACTGGCAGTGTCTATAGAGGGGTAGTGGTCGTCGGCCACGAGGATGTCTGACAACTTGATCACTGTATCTATTGATGTCTCCTTCTGGGTGTCCGGGTCACTTTGGTTATCAGCTGGTATGTGCACCTTCCCGCTGGATACAGTGCTCACACCATTCGGGGTAGCTGACCAGTTTTCCTTGGCGAAAGACCGAAGCAGCAGTTCCTGCCGCCTCAAGGTCCAGACAACGCCGGTGTAGCAGATCATCATGACGGGTACGATGACGCCAAAGATGACTGCCAAGCAGATGCTGTAGAAGAGACAGGCCTCCCATACAGGTGTACAATGATAGTTGTCCGGGTGAAACTTATAGTCGGAAAGTAGCTTAAATAGAGGCGGCATGGCATATAGGATGGCCATCACCCAACAGATGAAAATAAAGCCGATGGTTCGATTCTTGGAGGGAGGGAACCGCATGGACCAGACAACGCCCAGATAGCGGTCTATGGTGATGAAAAAAATCGTTGAGAAGTTGCCATAGAAGAAGATCGCAGCTGCGGTTCCAGTGATCTTTAAAGAATCGGAAAAATTCACAGAATGATTGATGTTTACTCTTTCCTCTTTAATTATTGTTGAAATAACAACTGAAATATATCATCCAGTGGCCCGATTTCAAGTCAAACTTACACACAACGCTGGGTTTAAGCTTTGCCCAAAATGTAATCTTACCTGAATTAGTAGAATACGGATCTTTAATTATCATATATTTCATTTCAATTTGACTTGTATCCCTTAAACCTCTTTAAAATCAAGCAAAGAATCTTTAAAGCCTAATTTTATGACATTTTGTTCATTTTGTCTCACTGGTCATTTGAATTTGATTTTTTTTTTTGTCTAGCCAATATCTACATTTTTGCGGTAAACAACAAAAGGTAGGGCCTACAGTTTACATTGAAAATAAGGCTGCACATTTTTTGATCGGAGCCATTTCCTTGATTCCAAATCCCGCTTCCAATGGCTTTGGTTCTTACCCGGCACATGACATCGCTGTTGACCAGGATATTGCCATTGTCAAACACGGAAATGACGGAGAATAACATGCTGGTGGTCGTGACCCCGAGGTCATTGATGATCAGGTTCAGGATCAGCCAGTTATGGTACTTCCTTCTCAGAACCTTGTCTCGAAGGATCGTCACCATCGCAATCAGATTGGTGACCAACGCTCCAAGGAAGATGATGATTAGCGTCACGCCCTCGATGAGGATCACGGCCGATGTCGGATTGTGGTCGACATTGAGACCATGGTCGTGACCTTGTGGCGTCGTTGAGAATACAGTCGTTGTTGAATGATTGATGTTTATAATTGTGGCCATTGTGATGTCATGAAGAGAGTTGTCAACACCATCAGAGAGAAGAAATTGATGCATTTGCAGCGGCTCGAATTTAACAGAATCCTCGTCACCTCGGATTATGACTTAGCAAAAATTCATTTCCATCTCATCGTTTCCGAATACAGCATTAGGAATTTCAACCAGGGTGGGGGGGGGGGTCGTCAATATGTTTCTCCTTACAAATAAACAGAATACGCAGTCATTGTGTTTTGTAGTGGTTTGTTTAATTGGCAGGATTCGGCTGAATATTAGTGCATTGAGACGGGCGAAGAGCAGGGTGAAGGCTAAGGTAGATAGAGAGAGGGAGAGTGGGGGAGAGGGAGAGAGAGAGAGAGGGGGGGAGAGAGAGAGGGGTAGAGAAAAGGTACCAGTGGGACAGGGGAGGAAGAAAAGAAGACTAAGAGAGGGAGGGGAAATGTCTAGATCAGTGGCGGATCCAGGATTTTCACATTTCTGGCCCCCCTATTGGAAAATCCTGGATCCGCCACTGATCTAGACATTTCTCTCTCCTCTTTCTCTCTCTCTCTCTCTCTCTCTCTCTCTCTCACTCTCGTCTCCTCTCTCTCTCTTTTTCTCCCTCTCTCCCCTCTCTCTATATCTACCTTAGTTTCCACCCTACTCTTCGCCCATCTAAATTAATGCACTAATATTCAGCCGAATCATGCAAATTAAAACAAACCACTACGAAACACATGACTGAATATTCTGTTCTATATATTCTGTTCAAAGTAAAACACTGGCCTGCATGATTGGACCAGAAGAATATTGACATAATTATCGAGACTCGAGATTCCACCCGGGAAGTGATTAACTTTTGGGGGTGACAGCTCTTAATCGTAATTGTTGAAACCGATATTGAAAATAACCTACAAATTGAAAGACATCATTATGCCTTTATATTAGTATTATAATGCAGGCACCAAATTCATTTTCTCAAATGTTAATTAACAGAAGTGACCCTTACAGATATTGTGCTGTTTCTGATCACGATATTTCTCCATGTGTCTGCTTGGCATCACCAATCACGTTGTTCTCATTCTGTTTTCCGTTGTAATAAAGAATATTGTTGGGCTTTTCGATTTGCATAGTGAATAAATGAAGACAAATTAGCAATCTATTTGATTAGTGGAGTTTACGGTTGACAGCATTTATCTTTTTAAAATTAATTAATTTGAGTGACGGAGTAATCTATTCCTTATTTCGATCGTTGTATCTTTGTTCGTTTCGAATGGTTATGCACCGTATCCCTCTCATAAACTTATATCATTTCATTACTATTCTCTATTCATTACTATTCTCTCTCTCTCTCTCTCTCTCTCTCTCTCTCTCTCTCTCTTTATTGGAGGAGCTTGCGCCTTTGAATGTTTTTGAAACAGATATATGGCGTCATATAAATGGGAATCATCATCACCTACTCTCCCTCTCTCTTTAGCCACCTATCCCACCCACTCACCCTGTATGTCTGTTCGTCTCTCTCTCTCTCTCTCTCTCTCTCTTTCCCTTTTGCTCTCTCCCTATCTTCACCGCTCTTTCTCTTACCCCAGCTGCCAAAATGTTTATTTTCCTCCTCCTCCTCCCTCCCCTCCCGCTTCCTCTATTCTTTATTATCACTCCCTTTAGCCACTTCCTTGTCTGTCCTCCATTCTCCTTTTCTTTGGAACCTTGCGATTTTGTTCTTTCTCCTTTCTCTCTCTCCTTCCCCTCCCTATCTCGTTTTTTTCTCTCTCCCTCCATTTTCTTCAATCCTTCCTGCTCTTCCTTCCTTTCCCTTTTTCTCATTTTCCATTTTCTGTATATCTTTTTCTCTATCTTTATTTCCTTCTCAATGTTCCTCTCTCCTCTTCTCCATCTTCATGGCTCTTCCTTTTTCTCTTCAATTCTTCCTGCTCTTCCTTACTTTCCCTTTTTCTCATTTTCCATTTTATGTATATCTTTTTCTATATCTTTATTTTCTTCTCAATTTTCCTCTCTCTCCTCTTCTCCATCTTCATGCCTCCTTCCTTTTCTCTCTCTCCTCCTTCCCCTCTATCTCTATCTTACTCCATCCACCCCTCCCACCGTCATCACTTTATCTCCTTTTCTCTCTATTTTGCTTTCCATCCTTCTCTCTCTCTCTCTCTCTCTCTCTATCTATCTCTTTGCTGAAATATGCATGACAACTAAA